GGTGTTCACTATCAATTAGAAAGCCGATAGGTCAATTGAACAGTGCAAAGCAAGATTGCAACTAAGGAGTTCACCTAGACATATGGAATTAATTATTACGAAACCTTTGCTCCTGTAGCTAAAATGAATTCCATTTGAGCTCTTCTTTCATATGCGGCTAACTTAGGGTGGCATTTACAGCAACTAGATGTAAAGAATGCATTTCTCCATGACGATTTGGAGGAAGAGGTATATATGGATGTGCTATTGTGATTCTTATCTCAGTTTAAAGTTAAAAAAGTTTGTAGGTTGAAGAAGGCTTTATATGGTTTGAAATAGTCTCCTAAGGCTTGGTTTGATGGATTTGTAAAGGCTATGTTGAGATTTGGGTATAAGCAAAGCAATGTAGATCACACTGTATTTGTCAAATGCAATGTAAATAAAGTAACTATGCTTATTGTATATATGGATGACATAATTGTGATGAGGAATGATGACGAGAACGTGACACATCTGAAGATACAGTTGGCCAAAGATTTTAAGATCGAAGACCTTGGCCCGTTAAGGTACTTTCTTGGGATTGAAATTGCCAGATCTGACAAAGGTATCTTCATTTCTCAAAGGAAGTAGATTCTAAACCTTTTTGGGGAAACCGGCATGTTAGGCTGTAAACTAGTTGATTTGCCTATTGAGATAAATCATCATCTTTGCAGTGGGGTTGGTAACTCTATTGAAAAATAAAGATACCAAAGACTCGTAGGCCGACTTATATATCTATCTCACACTCGGCTAGATATTACATATGTAATTGGGATAGTAAGTTAGTTTATGCTTGATCCTCGTGCAACACATTTGGATGTTGTGTATCATATTTTGAGGTACCTTAAATTAGCCCTAAGAAAATGAATTTTGTTTTCTAATCATGGTCACTTGAGGTTGAAGGCTTTTATAGATGCAAATTAAGCAGGTTCTGTGAATGAATGAAGATCTACATTTGGAAACTGCACTTTTGTGGGGGAAGGGGGGAAATTTAATCATCTGACATAGTAAGAAGCAAACAGTGGTATCTAGGTCTAGTGCAGAGACAGAATACCGAGCTATAACGCATGATACTTATAAACTCATGTGGCTTCAGCCCTTATTGGGCGATACAGGAATTGTTTGCGGTGATCCTATGAGTCTGTATTGTGACAACAAAATTGCCATCAACATTGTTCACAATCCAGTTCAACATGATAGGACCAAACACATTGAGATTGACAGACACTTAATTAGAGAGAAATTGAATAAGAGATTGATTTGTATGCCTTTTGTGAAATTTAAAGGTCAATTGGCTGATGTGTTTACTAAAAGTCTTAGTAGTAAGATTTTTCGTCTAATTTGTTGCAAGTTGAACATGAGAGATATATTTGTACCAACTTAAGGGGGAGTGTTTAGTGTTAGAGTTATTTGTCTCTAAGGGTAGTCATGTAATTTGTGTCTTTAGCCTTTTATTATAAATAGATGTGTAAGAGGAGAATTCTAATTCATTAGCGTTAATACAACTTTAGTCGTTCTCTCTCTTTCTCTTTTCTTCCTTTGTTCTTCTTCTTCCTCATATGTAAATCTAACAGTCTCCAAAGTTTAAATTATTATAATAGCTATGTAAGCCTTATGGAAAAAGATAACTTTTGTGGATAATACTCATAATATCTCTTTCTTGTAGATTTAAGATTTTATTTTCTCATGAATTTGATGGCCCTTTTGTCTACTAGAACGGTATTTAATTTCCACGTGTATTTTTATTGTGTCAAGTGGTATCAAAGCGAGATTTTGCTTGACTCAGTAGTACAAGACAAAGGAGGACACGCAAACTCTATTTATGGTGATCATAAGGTTAATGTGAAGTGCAAAGTGTTCGAGAGACAACAACATCAATTGAATAGGACTTGTAATATGATTACGGGGTTGAATCCCAACACCAACAACGTATCACCAATAGCTGATCGGGTACACGTCAAGAGAGCTACCCAAGGCTAATCGGTTAATCATAATGTTAATAGGAATTAAGATACTGGATTTGTCCAAAGCTAACCTGTTAGCAACAACATTTTGAAGCACACTACTCATTGTCAACCTGATAACAATAGTGAATTTGAAGACGAATTGGATGAGAAGCCCAAATATATTTCACATTATCAATTTCATAACAATATCGATACAGAAAATGAATATGAGAGGCATGCAAGTCGGTCAATAAGGAGGCAACGAGAGTTTAGGTCACAATATTTTTTTAAATACAATAATTATTCCATGGCTAGATCTTCATATCAAAATTCTTCAAGCACAATTATGTCAAGAAGGTGATCAATTGAGTTCGACCAACCAAGTACAAGAAGTACACTTATCCAGCCATGGTTGGGACAACCAAGCTCTATAGGTCAACTGATCAATCAAACTCAGTTGAGGTTTTCCAAGCTAGGAACGACTGAGGTTAACCAAGATTTGCTAAGGACATAACTATCATCTCTTGATTATTATGATGGTTATGAGACAGCAAAAGAAGAAAGAGGTTGAGTTGAACTCAAAGACGAAAAAGAAATAGAAGATGAGGTACTAGAGTCGATGCACATAACAAAGAAATTGATTGATGATGCACTTAATGTTTTAAGGTTGAAAATTGAAGGCTAAACTAATTTAAGACACTGTAAAATCAAGAAAGCATGCAAGTTCTACATAAAATAAATTTTGTTGATTTTCTTGGTGCGGAGGAATTTGATTTGATTTTCAATATTTATCTACTTGATCTTGTCAAACAATTGAAGCATAAAGAGAAGAGTTTTGGGAAAAAAAATTGAAGTATTCCAAATATCTCTTTATTTTGGCATGGAAAATAGCAAATTAATTTCTAATTTGAACTTGGGGCCGAGTTTTTATTAAGAAGATGAGTTTGATATAAAACAAGATTTGAGAAGTTTTTATATTTTTAGTTTTGTTATTTTTAATACATTATTTTATTAGGATATTTATAATTTAATATGAAATATTATAGATTTAAAGAAAATTTACCCATAAATCTTATATGGGGAATATTGATCCATTTAGTCTTAAAAGTTTTCTTATAAATCAATTAGTCCTTTTTGTTTTGAAAAGTTGTATTTATAGTGTCATTTAAGTTTAAGTGAATACCCTTTTGTGATTCATTTTTCCAATTTTATGATTTGTTTTTGGGATGGGAATGACAATGTGAGATGTGGAAGATCCTTTTGGCGGCCATTAATGGCAGAAGTGTTGGTTGTCAACCGTGACAGTCTACATTTCTGTTAGTGTGGTTTTCTGGTGTTACATTAGATTGCTACGTTTGGAAAAAGTACGCTAAAGAGTTTTTGTATAATATTGATTAGAGTGTTATGTTAGAAAAAATATACTACAGAGTTTTTTTGAAATGTTACGTTGTTACGTTTGAAATAAGTATACTAAAGAGTTTTTTAGTGTGTTAAATTGGAGTGTTATTATTCAAAGGTGTGAACCCTAGACCTTGGGTTTCATTAAAAACACTTCTATATTATAATATTAATATCTTTATTATTTATTTTTATTCTTACTTATCTAAATTGTAAACGTATCGTGTGTCACCCGTTAGTTATATATATGTGAACAGTAGATTTGGTGTTCAAAACTCCAAACCTTCTCCTCATGCCACATAGCGGATTTATATATGCTAAAATAAAAAATTATTATATTATAGTGCAAGTAAGGTTTGAATCCAAAACCATGGGTTTCATTAAAAACACACTTATCATTTAGGCAACTTACATATTATAATATTAATTTTATTTTTATTTTTACTTATCTAAATTACACACTCCACGTGGTAGATATTTCTATCATAAAATAAAAAATTAATTTACAAAGGCATGAGCAAGATTTGATCCAAGATCTTGAGTTTTATTAAGAATACTCTTACCATTTTAAGTAATATACATATTATATTATTAATTTGTTTATTATTTTTTTATTATTACTTATCCGAATTGCACACACATCATATGTGCCACCCGCTAGTACTATTATTAAGTTAAGGCTGGACTTAGTATCCAAATCTTCTTTCCATCCTAAAATATGCAAAGGCGTGAGTAAAGTTTGAATATAAGATCTTCTTAGATTTTATTAAGAATACTCTTTCCACTTAAGCAACGTACATATTATGATACTAATTTATTTATTATTTATTTTTATTCTTACTTATCTGGATCGTACATGAATCACATATGTCACTCGCAATAAAATAGTTATGTAAGCCTTATGATAAAGAGACAACTTTTATTAATAATATTCATAATTTCTCTTCGTTGTAGATTCAAAGATTTATTTGTCGTGAATTTGAGAGCACTTTTCCTTTATTAGAAGGACACCTAGTTCCCGCATGTATTTCCGTTGTGTCAAGATCAAAGGTTCAAGTATATCCACCTATATATATGAATCTTATTCTCCTTTCGTATTTGTCTGGATTTCTTCACTCCTACTTTTGATAGTTTTATGTCATACGACTAATAACGGTACATTGTGTTTGATTTTCCTTGTGATTGAGATTTATTGGGGTTCATATTACAATGATAAATTATAATTTTAACCACCAAAAAAATAATTACAACATGCATTTTACTAGAACTACCAAATAAAATAATGTTGTTTCCAAGCAATATTTTGCATAATCTGAACTAAGGAAACCAAATTTCAAATATGTTTTCAGACTGTCTACCAAAAGGTTTGCCAAGATTTGCCGGTCTTAGAATCTACATTTGACATTAAACCATCATAATTCCAGGAGTGTGCACTGTGTGACTGAGCCGATAACACAGTGAGCTCTGAATTTGCATGTCAATGGTTCGTCTTTAGCAGTTAATCAAGCCATCAGTTGTACGTGAACATAAATCACCTTACCGTACGCACAAATAAGTCAGAAGATCATTTAGCTCAAATCAAGAGAAGGGGACGAATAAATGAGCTTACCTAGCAATGATTGATTTTCAAACTCGTAATGGTCACAAACCAACAACCCAGAATCATCATAGAAAAAAAAGGCCCAACAATTCAAATTATGTACTGTCACAGGTTTCAGCTGTAAAGAAGAAGAATGCACGGTTCTAGCAGTTCATCACCTATTCTAGTAACTAAGAAGCACGTGTGAAAAATTTACAAACTACTTTTCGAAAGAACAATTCAAAAATCACTTGATGGTAGGTAATCATATCAGAAAATTTTGAACAACTATCCTGGATTTCTTCTTGTGAATTTAGGCACAACTATGAAGCTAGGACCCTCTCAATGGCAGCCACGTAGAACTCCTTGGGCATGGTACCAACCACAGATTCACGTCTCTCTCCATTCTTAAACAGCATAACCACTGGCACAGCTTTAATGTCATAGTTCTCGGCAACTTCCTGGTCATTGTCCGCGTGGAGTACAAAGCATTCTAGTCTCCCAGCAAACTCTGTTGCAAGCTCATCAATCACCCGGTGAACCATCCTGCATGGCCCACACCAGCTAGCATGGAATTCAACAAGGACCGGCATATCACTGTTCAAAATCAATTTGTCCCACGACTTACCGGTGACCACTGCAGCTGCACATTGCAAAAATAGCATAGCTGAGAGAGAGATTTAATTTATCACACATATCTTGATATCTCAACATGAACTTCAATTTAATTTGTCATACAATTTGTCAGACTCTCATTTGTGTCCTGCACGGATGTTCAATCTCTGAGAAGGATGCAGACTTCTGAAATGATCTTGATATCTTCATAAACAGTGAGAAGACGAATTAAAAAGGCTTCTGTCTAGCCATTTTTTCTTTTTTGATAAATTACTTCTGTCTAACCATTTTAATGCCCACTCTTGCATTAAATATGCTTATTTCTCATAATTAATTCTTATCAACCCATTAAATCTACTCAAATAAATTGAAGGTTTGACTACATAAGTAAAAAATTTCAAAAGGGGGGAAGGATATAAACAAAAAGTTCCCATAGCAAGTCACTATTATTTCAGCAAATATAATATGCAGATCACAAAACCACTGCAGTTGTGCTAAAGCATCTCAAAATGACACCCATCACCTTGCACCACAACCCCTCTGTAGATACAAATATTCAATTAGATTTCTTCCCAAAGTCTGCACTTCAGTATCTTCTATCTCTCCATTTCATCCAACCTATGCAATTCTCTAGCAGCATCCTAAATTGACACTCAACAGCTGATTTGTATCACCTTATCTCTCAGTTGATGTAAAGATTTGGTTGAATCCTTTTCAGATTTTGCATCTAGTTAGCTACATCTACACGATTCTCTTAAAAAGTCACCACAAATTGATAGCCAACACTTGAATTACTTCAACTCTAAACAGAGATAAAGCTTCAATGAACCAAATACCCTATTCAACCCTGAGGCATCTAATCTACACCCAACCTTCGCACCATTCATATGATCTCCCAGAAAGTACAAGTACCTGATTTGATCTCTATCCCAAATTTTCCGTCCAAAAGCATCGAACTTGACAGTGAACTTGCATAACATGAGCTTTCAATAAATGTAAAGTTTTGGTGGGATTTCTTCCCCAAATATCTCCTCACAGCCACAAAGTGCCATAAGCTTATTGTGAAGGTGAAGATTGACTACATCACTCAAACAAGCATATGATCCTATAATCTGTTCAGGTTAGAGACTATTTCAAAAGCATATGATCCTAAGCTACAATCTGAATCAGGGTTAGCAACTTTTGCCCAAACTTCCTTCCATCTAGAAATTCACAACCATTATAGTTCGTCAAAGGGCAACAAGCACGCAAGCAAATTAACAACCTTTGAGGAAGAAGCTAAGCATTCTTTCCAAGGTGGGAGATTTCATTTTGCCACCCACTTCCATTGTTTCCTAACCAATAATTAGTCTTATATTTTATCCAGATGGGTGTAATTCCATTGATAACTTCTGCTAATATGAAAATAATAGTGAGTTTTCATTCACAATTTTAGTCTTCATTGAGACTACATGTCTGTTTAACGAAAGAAGATAGTCATATCATATTATGCAATTCCACATAATAGCAATATGACTACTAGTTGAACTAGCAGACCTATTCTGCAGCATTCTCCAATGACACTGCAGCAGTAATAGAGAAAAGAATTCATAGACACCAATATATAAGAAAATAGTTAAGATCAGGGCTTATTTCAACAAATAGCAACAAAAACAGTAATCAATTGCATCAAGAATCAAGATAAAACAAGAGAACAAAAGTCATAATAGATCAGCAGAAAAGGAGTACACTAAAACCCCACCAAATTCCTCGTAAGCAGCTTTTGGACTTGCAGAGTTAGATCCTCTATTTTCAAACAACCAGCCTTGGCATCTATCGGTTTTAAAAATGCGAATTTTTTTATTGCAAATACTAATGAGGCCATTATAAATGTGGAACTGAACTTGATTCCGTAAGGACTCCGATTGTTATCAAAACAAAATCTGATATAGCACTAGAACATGTTCAACTTCTTTCAATCTCATGCCCAATGGTTTGCAGGGTACAATTTGAAACCGCCATCCCTGAATAAGCATTTGATGGGAGATGTCAATCAAACAACTATCTGTCTTCCCCCATCCCATCAAATATGTTAATCCAAATTTTTCAAGAATTTGAACAAGAAATAAAAGTTTTCATTTATAAATAATAACATTCATTTTTCAGAAAATCAGAAAACATGAGTTTTAAAGTAATTTATGTTTCTTACATCCTCAAAGATCCAAATAAGTTAAGTTACTAGATATTTATTTATTTTCTCACCAAATCCCTCAATCCAAACAATCAAGCTGATTTTCACGACTAGAAGAAAGAAGCCAACAAAAGCACAAATCACGAGAGCATTGTAAAAATCAGAAACTCAAAAGAGAGAGATGATTGATTACCTTTGGGTTCACGGAGACAGAGGACTCTGAGGCGGGGAGGGGAGTTTGGAACCCTAATACCTTTCTTGGGCTGAAAGGAGAGGTGTCGAAAGCGAGAAGGTGAAGAAGAGAGGTTGTTAGGGTTAGAAGAAAGGGAGAGAGGTCGCGAAGATGATGAAGAGAGTGAAGGAGGAGATGTGTAGTAGTAAAAGTAGGAAGAAACAGAAGAAGCCATTGGCTTGCTTTGCTTCAGGCCAAACCCAAAATGTTAAGACCGATGGAGGAGAAGAGGAAGACGAAAACAGAAGATGCACTTGTCCGTCCAGCTAGTATACGAGTATGCCCACCAACCGAACAAGAAAATTGGGGGAGGGAGCGTACGTTTTTCTTTAGGATTTATTGCTCAAAAATGAATGTGATGTGACTGGCCTGGTTGGTGCCTAGTGCTTGCTACCAACAAATGAAATCCACATATGGGTTGGTTTTCTGTCCGTCATCAAATTGAAGGGTATTATTAGACTTATAGAAATTTAGGTTTTGTTTGGTATAATTTAATTTAGTCTATTTTTTTTATTTTTTTTAAGGTCACATCAATTAATATATATATATTTTTTTTACATATCTTTTTATAAAAAGTTAAAAGGTACATTTATTTAAAATATCCCAAACCATCCCTTATTATAGATTTTGTTTTGATAATTTAAATCGTTTAATATGTAGAATTTATTGAGTACTATAATATGCCTATAAAAAAATTATGTTGATTGGATATCGATATTTACATGATCAAATCAGTTTTGTATAAAAAATAAACAATGAACAAAAATCTAATCCGATGAAATAGCTATTAATATCCGATCAATATGATTTTTTTACAAATATATAGTACTTAACGAGTTATACACATTAAACGGTTCAGATTATCGAAACGGGACACATGATGAGTCCTCACAGGTCTAATAACACCCTCTAGTTCGATCAGTGATGGGAGGAAAGTCAATCCTTTCACATATAATACCACAAAAATGTCACATATGATTAAAAGTTAAATTTTGACTTTTAATCTATTTTAAATTATATTATCTTTCCACTTTTTCACATATTTTTCTAAAAAAAAGTTTTAAACCAACTTCTCAAAACAATCCTATGTAGGGCCTATCTATTGGAGTATTTTTGGCTTTAGGGATTGTTTGGTAACACATTTTTTTGGTGACTTTTTTATTTGTTTTACTCAAATATGAGAGGAAAGAAATTAATATGTTTGTGATGATTTTTTAGTTTTTTATGAAAAGTGTTGGAAAAATAATAGTTTTTTTGGTGAATTTAATACAATATTAAAGTGGGTGTCAGTCCTCAATTGAGGTGGATTAAAGTGGGTTTAGATTCTTTGTAATGAAATCTTTACACTACAAAAAGAATAACCAAAAATCATTAAAATTTAAATAAAAAATTGACTCATTAAGTTAGCCTCATGAAAGAGGTATTGAAAAAGGTGAATGCAAAATTATACATATTACACATGTGTATAAAATGGGTGTAACTTCTTTATAATGATGATACATTAAAGCCATCAATTGGGAGTTTTGCAAAATTAAGTCTTGTCATTAAGGGTGGATGCATTGATGGCTCTGAAGATAAGTAAGATGAGGCCTTAAGGGCCTATAAAGACGACTGTCCACTATGAAAATCTTTGAGCAAAGACATTTGCCAAAAAGCATAGAAGAGTGATGGCGAGGATATGCATATCGTATCTGTTGCACTGCATTAAAACTATCCTGTTCGTGTGTTAAGCTTTGAAATGCAAATTGAAGGCCTTATCGGCGGTGCCGAACCGGAATATTGCATTAGCTGTTTTATGCTTAATTTGAGAATTATATGTTTTTATGGTCCTGATTACCTGAAAATGTGCGATGTCGGCTATGACTTCAAAATTAGATTACAATATGATAAATCACAGATGGTTGCCTTATTTACCAAACTACCATCCTTAGTGGGCCCACTATACAAAACATATTTTGAAGCTTTAATACATTGTTAGCAACATTTCATCAGCATTTCTTTGCACTCAACCGACTGGAGAGAGCAGAGAATTAGCGGAG